ACCATGCTCTAGTGGACTTGGAGGTATGCTTGGGATCATTGTCCTGTTGAAAGGTCCAACGTCTCCCAAGCCTCAGGTGTGTGACGGACTGCATCACGTTTCCATCCAATATCTCCTGGTACTGAAGAGAATTCATGGTACCTTGCACACGCTGAAGCTTCCCTGTACCTGCAGAAGCAAAACAGCCCCAAAGCATGATTGACCCTCCACCATGCTTCACAGTAGGCAAGGTGTTCTTTTCATCATAGGCCTTGTTCTTCCTCCTCCAAACATAGCGTTGATCCATGGGCCCAAACAGTTCTAATTTTGTTTCATCAGTCCACAGAACACTATCCCACAACTTTTGTGGTTTGTCCACATGGCTTTTGGCATACTGCAGTCGACTCTTCTTATTCTTTGGAGACAGCAAGGGGGTACGCCTGGGAGTTCTGGCACGGAGGCCTTCATTACGCAGTGTGCGTCTTATTGTCTGGGCTGAAACTTCTGTACCCACATCTGACAAATCTTTTCTCAGTTCCTCAGCAGTCACACGGGGACTTCTCTCCACTCTACGCTTCAGGTAGCGCACAGCAGTCGAAGTCAGCATCTTCTTTCTGCCACGACCAGGTAGCGTTTCAACAGTGCCCTTTGCCTTGAATTTGCGAATGATGCTTCCTAAGGTGTCTCTTGGTATGTTTAACATCTTTGCAATCTTCTTATAGCCATTGCCCTTCCTGTGAAGAGAAATCACCTCTTCTCTTGTCTTCCTGGACCATTCTCTTGCCTTCACCATGTTTGTAACCACACCAGTAAATGTCTAGAAGGAGCTGAGTATCACAGTCATTTTAAAGCTGCCTAATTGGTGCTTATTATGCTTGATTGCTGCTCGGTGACATCCACAGGTGTTTTCAATACCTGATGGAAAGCACCTGTATGAACCTCTGTTCTTCAGAGTGGTAGTCTTTAAGGGGTTGAATAATTGTGGCAATGAAGAAACCACATAAGAACCATTTACTACTGTATTACATAAACAATTGATGTCATTTTAGTTGCATTTGGGTAGTTACAACGTCCTTGTAGGATTTGATTCTGAATACAATTCCAAATGTACACTATAGTCCCTAACCCCTTTACAGCATTGGGGGTTGAATAATTTTGGCCACAACTGTATGTGAAATTATTACACAATTAACCACTTCAGGTATTACACCTAGTTAATCCAATATAGATCAAGACAACTTTTGCATTTCAGCTATAGGCCTACTGAATCAGCAACATCTTTGTCACTGTCACCTTCTTTTGGGAAAGAAAATGTTTTTATTGTAGTATATTGTCTCCATGAATTGTTTAATGCTCTATGGCGTTATAAAGTAAAAAGCAAATTAATAAAATGACCTTTCCTGATGGATTGTTTAAAAACAACTACTGTTATTGAAGGCACAATTTGCAAATTTTATTTTGCAATTTGTCCTATTTATCATGACATTAACATGATTTCTTTGGCACAAGAAATGGCAAAGTTATTTCCAAATTAAATACAGAAAAAAAAGTTTAATGGTTTTTATTTGCCTTCATATTAGCCTCCTGTAATGAGCAAAGGCAAATTTTTTTTCATTCTAACAGTAAAATAAATAGTGGAAAAATAGCTAAATAGATAGTGACATGAACTAACTAGGGCTATCTAAAGTTAATTAGAAATGTTGTATTTATGACCACCCAGTTTTAATACCACATAGATTTATTCCAGACAGTAATGTCAGGTTAGTTGCATGTACTTTTCCTTTTGCAGTTAAAGAAGAAGTATGACCAAAGCTCTCTTCTGGTCATACTTCTCCTGCGAGTCACAGGAGTGTACTTAGATCTGCAGATTCAGGTGGCAGTGGCTAAAGTCTGCTGTTAGCTAACTGCACAGAGCCGGTCCAAGCTCTGCAGGGGACCTGACAATAATGTCAGGATCTGCCCATATGCCTGACCGGAAGCTGGCTCAGCTTCTCAGAAGTTCTTTGAGGCCCTGAGCCTGGGCCAGCCACTCCTGCCCCCTGCGGGCCTGAGCAGCCCAGCATTCCAGTGAGCGCCACTCTCTGCTCAGAGCTAACCAAGAATTGAGCAAGCAGTAGTCTTTTATCACCCAGTTCTCAGTGTAGAGCCAGCAGGGGACAGATACAGCATTAGATCAAAGTTGCGTCAACCTAGGTGGGCATGTCGGTTTATTTAGCTGAAATCCCAGCACTGCTTTTTTAAGCCAAGGGCAATCTTTTGGCTTCTAATCTGTGATTAAATCATGAAAGAGAAGCATCAGAGTGATGATTTCATCCTTCTCTTCACTCAGCTCCCTCCTGGTGTCATGATCAACTGGTCCTTGGTGTTGGCCTTCCTTTACGCAGTGTGAGTTTTCCTTTGACGATTACAAGAGACTGATATCAAGAAGGATTAAAAAAAAAGGAACAGGTTCTGCCTGCAAGGATGATAATCACCTTTTCCAGTCCAGAAACTAAAAACATACAGTTAAGTGTATAAGTAAGTGACATATTTAATTGATCCTCTAATATTTATTACATGGCTTATTTTAATCTTTCATCCTTGTCTTTGTATATAAGCATGTGTCTCACCAGTGTTCACTTGTCTAATGAAGTAAGTACATCCTCCAAAATGTACTTTACCCTACACTTTATAATTTCAAATAAATATTAACTAAATAGACTTATAATTTGTTGGAATTATAGGTAGAGCCCAGGGGCGGACTGACAACCCCTGGGCAATAGGGGATCATGGGGCCCCTGTGTCCTTGCCCAAACCCAAAAAAGCCTATGAAAAAATACCAGGGGCATCTCATGGGGCCCCTTACTGACCCCGGGCCCTCGGGCAGTGCCCGAGTTTCCAAATGGTCAGTCCGCCCCTGATAGAGCCCCATTGTTCATTTCATTATATAAAATGTATTTGCTCTTTGTAGAAGAGGCTGACAGTGTTTTTTGTTCTATGTTCTCTTTGTCCTTATTGTAACAATCAACCCATAGCTCTTTACTTGTTGCAAGATCTCTGAAGTGTAGGTCGATACACACACCATCTTCTGAATGATATTCAGCTCTGTGGTGTGGTCATGCTGCAGTTGATACCTGGCTTCAATTAGCACAAAGTAAATGAACAGAAAGCATTTCTCTTATTTGCTTTCAGTTCTGTTAAATGTAATATTAAAAGTGTTTTGTACCTGTATAATAAGTCTACTTAAACAACATTACCTATATGTAGCATGTTTCACTGATTACTGAATCAGGATATGTTGTCAGTATCCCCAACACAGAGACTGAAAGCTCAGCTATGTAACTGACAGCTGGTCCTGGTGGATGTATTTGTCTAAGTAGCCACAGTGGGGTAAGTATTATTGGCTGTACCAGGCACACCTTTCAAATTTACCTGGCATCCTGTAGATTGTCTGTGGTTTGTCCTTGCTTTTCAAGTAGTTAGTATAGTCCAAACAATTGTCACCTCTATAAAGCCAACACTGTTTATGGCTAATAAGTAGTAAACCAGGCTGTCAAGACCAGTCCTAGTTTCCATTAACAATCCAGAACCAGTCGGAGTGGTTTCTGATCATGGGTTATTTTGTTGAATATGACATAGTGGTCACATGTAGGCTAGAGATTCATAAACTATAAAAATAAACCTTCAGTCTGCAGTGTTCATCTAATACTGATATTGTCAGATACAATTGCAGTATTAAAAATGTGGTTAAAGGTAACCTTCAGGCAAGAAAAACAAAATACAATTTAATTATATATACTCGTAATATCTGTTTTGACTACAATAGAATCTGTAATTCTTTTAGTCAGTTATGTTATCCAGGTACCCCTGCCAGGTGGCAGAATCAGATCCTTGACCTTCACTGCAGAAGTTTTTTGGTAAGAAAGACTAGCCAAAATACACCCTTTATCTGAAGGAACAGTAGCAAATTGAGGTGTGCATCCTGTTCATCTCTTCTGTCCGCACATATGCACTGATTTGTTCCTTGTGCAAACCCTCTCCCCCAGTGTACAGTGTTGCTGTACAAGAGGCTGATATGAAGGCAAATTCAGGTTCTTACATTATTTGCATTTAAATAAATGTAGCGTTAAATGAGCACGTGTATTACTGGAGTTAAAGGAGATCTAAACCCAGTCACTTAAATTATATAAAATCTTTAACATGCCATTTCAATTTTAAATGGAATTTTCAATGTATTTGTCTCCCATATATACTTCTGTGTTGCCCCTGGTCACATATGCTTCCTTGGACACGATAACTGGCACATGTTGCCCAGACATGTTACCCAATTGTCACAATCAGGAAGTTTGACATGAGCATTGACATACAGCCAGTGCTAGGGCACATACTTATAGAAAAGTAGGTAGAGGCTGGAGAAGTTCTGAAATACAAAATTGATGGAAAAAAGGTGAAAGTATTATTTTATAAAAATCAATAAAAATGGCAATGGTTTATGACACACATTGCTTAAACAAAATCAAATGTCATTCAGTTAAAGCAGAGTTCCACTCAAAAGCAGAAGCTCTGCTTATTTGCCTCCTCCCCCATGCACGGCCATATTTGGCACCTTCTGGGATGGGGAGGATACCTGTTTTTGACAGTTACCTGCTCCCACTTCTGGCTCAGTTTGCCGCTGCAAAAGTGAGACGGAAGTTTGGCCTCCTCCACCCTCCCGCTGTCTCCTGGGAACTTTCACAGGTCCCAGAAGACTGCTGGACTAATTAGGAAGTGCAACGCGATTCGCGCATGCACATTGAGCACAAGGCTGTGAAGCTGTAAGCTGTCACAGCCTGGTGCCCACAGTAGAGATACCGGCGCCGTGGAGGAGAGAAGAAGAGAAGGGTGAGAACATCACTGGACTACGGGACAGGTTAGTGTGTGTTTATTAAAAGTCAGCAGCTACAGTTTTTGTAGCTGCTGCCTTTTAATAAACACAAAAACCGCTGGAACTCTCGTTTAAGGTTTAGGTCTACTTTAAAGTGTTACTAAACCCAGGACCCTGCATTCACTCTATCTGGTCTCCCACAATACACACTACATGGATATGGAATTATTTTAGTAAACATAAACTGCTAAATACCTTTTCTCATCAGCAGTTAGAGCAGTCTTGTGACTTATATTCTTTGTCCAGCAGAGTACTGGTTAAAGCTTGTAGGAGGTGTTTTCTTCCTGCTCTAAGAGGATGCAGAACCACTGACCTCTCTCTGGACAGTGCTGATTGGACCTGTGCTGATCACATGCACTTTCCCATGATAAAAAAAACCTTTCTAGAAATACACACCAAATTGAGCATGTGCAGATTTTCTCAACACAATATATCTTATCAGGAGATAAGGAGGCCACTGGAAGAAGGGGAGGATCAGAGAAGTCAGGATCAAACACCATTTTTACACAATGCAGAAGATCAACCCCTCAGGTTCCACAGTGAGTATAACAAGCATGCTTTACTGCATATACAGACTGATTTTACTGTTGTGGGTTTAGTAACACTTTAAACTGTAAAACACATAACAGAATTCATAAAGACTGTAGTCGAACCTCTTTAGAATTCCATCACACTGCTCACAACAGTTTTATGCACCTGTCAGGAATAGGTACTTAAATTTATTGCAGGAGGCAGCTGGCTTTGAGGCCAGAGTGTTCCAACTAACCAATTCATCCTAATATCAGCTCACTCATACTGAGCCTGATAAAATCACAGACTCACAGTTGCTTACCACCCTTCCCAGCCACTCTGCCCATCACACAGATTAGCACAGCAAGAAGTTTTGTTGTGGGGTGAGTGAAGCCTGATGGAAAAAACTCTGAGACTGGTTCCCCATAGGTTTACCTGCTTTGTAATTAACAGTGGGAGACTATTGGAATGAATAGCAACAATGAAATCCACCTGTTGCATCCATTGTCAATCATATGACAGGCAGCCAGGTCTCCCCATCAGGCTCCACCCACTGTCATTGTGCCCCTATGTCACTGGTTGCTAGATCACTGTCAGCCATACAGCCAACAGTGTCATAACAACCAATGACCACCCCTGACCCTTTCAGCTGCCAGTCAGTTCAAATATGACAATGGTCATTATAGCAGCCAGAGAGCCTGGCATGGGACACATTCATGACAGCTTTCTAGCACATACATGCCCCACTCTGGGCACTGGCCTTTCTCTGTATGCCAGCTCAGAGTTGCTCTGAATAACCACCACTTTTTCTATCTGCTAAGTGGCATGGTAATTCTTTTAGAATCTGTTACAGTCATAGTGACAGGTTCCTAAAATGGCGTAAATAAGAACTAACTGAATCTGGTGCACATGTCAGATCTTCTAACAAAACTGTCACAAGGCTTTTCTGAATTAGGTGCAGGCCATTTTAAAGGTCATACTGCCAAGAAAGTGTCATATCTGCTTTGCTGAATTCCCACCATTGTGTTAATGTATTAATGTCACACTAATGAAAGCCAGCATATAATTGGTTACCAGGGTTTCTTCAAATATTTATTTATCTATCATGTCAGAAATTCTGTGTAATATTTAAACGTTTTTGCTTTTTTTTTAAATAAGAATGATGCAAATTTGTATTAAAGTACTACATATATTTTTAATCAAAATAAAATGTGTTCTTGGTTTTCTGGCTTGTAAGCTTTCAACTAGAGCAATTTTGTTTTTTATTAACAATAATTAGAGAAAAAATAATTAAACATTTTATTTTATCAGAGATTAATTATTTCATGTGGTTTTTGTAGAGATCTGAAGTTGGCATGTTAATATTAAAAAAAAAGTTATGATTAAAAGAAAATCCTGAAGTGTATACTGTTTTACTGTAACATTCTAAGTGTTTTGAATGCTTAACGTTTAGCTTTAGTTTTCCATAAATGTGCTAAGCACATCCCCTAGTGGTAGGACTGGAAAAAAAAATTCTAGAAAATAGAACTACTGCAGTATACTGCAGTATACTGTATATATATATATATATATATATATATATATATATATACATAGTGCATTCATAAAGTATTGTTTAATTATTTTTTTCTTCTTCTTAATCTGCACTCAGTACCCCATAATGACAAAGTGAAAACAGAATATTAGAACTGTTTGCAAATTTATGAAGAAGGAAAAACTGAAAATCACATTGGCATAAGTATTCAGAGCCTTTGCAACAACTCTAGAATTTTAGTTCAGGTGCCTCCTGTTTCTCTTGATCATTGCTGAGATACTTCTACACCTTGCTTGGAGTCCACCTGTAGTAAATTAAATTGATTGGACATGATTTGGAAAGGCACACACCTTTTTATAAAAGACCTCACAGCTGACAATGCATATTGTATCAGAACAAAAGCCATGAGGTCAAAGGAAATGCCTGCAGAGCTCAGAGATAGGATTATTGCAAGGCACAGATCTGGGGAAGCCTACAAAAAAATTCTGCTGCACCGAAGGTTCCCAAGAGTGCAGTGGCCTCCATAATCCTCAAATTGAAGAAAGTTAGCACAACCAGGTTTCTTCCAAAAGCTGGTCACCTAGCCAAACTGAGCAATTGGGGAGAAGGGCCTTAGTAAGAGAGGTGACCAAGAACCCAATCATTGCTCTAACTGAACTCCAGAGATCCTGTGTGGAGATGGGACAAAGTTCCACAAGGACAACCATCACTGCAGCCCTCCACCAATCTGGGCTTTATGGCAGAGTATCTAGATGGACGCCTCTCCTCAATGCTAAACACATGGAAGCCCACTTGGAGTTAGCAAAGAAGCATCTAAAGGACCCTCAATGGACTAAGTGAATGCAATATATATATATATATATATACCGTATATATATATTGTACTACATATTCATTTTCGCAAGCCATATCTATTCATCTGTATATTGTTCAAATGTACAGTGTGTGTCTGTATAATCATTATTATATAATGCAATGCTCGATTCATAGCTTCAGGCTTTGTTTTGAGGAGAGCAGGAAAAAAAAATATGAGGTGGTGATAAAATAATGCTTCTTGAGATAAGATAAAGATTTACGAAAAATAAGGCCTTCAACAGCTAAATGCCAATGTTCACAAAAAAAAGGATCATTTAAAATCTAAGCAATATTTGTGTTTGTGAATTAAAATCATAGACTTTAGTGTTCTTTTATCTCAGTGAGTTGCACCTAATGCCTGTGTAGGGATGTGATGCCCCCTACTGTCTGAATTTGTAAATGCCTGTGAATAAACTTATGTATGCACTTCCTGTCCCTGGGTTGTTGTCTTTGAAACACTGGAAGGAGGAAGCGCAGAGGGAGAGAGAAAGCGTCAGCTCCATGTCCTTCAATAGTGCTTTATCCTAATCCAGAAGAGATTATTGTGCAAGTATTCCTATGCTCTAATAGTTTAACTGCGTAGCAGATTTAAGAAGCGCCACAGAAAATACAAAATAAATCAAATAATAAGCAGCACCTCTAACCAAAAAAGGTAAAATAGTGTACAAATAAAAAGTGCACTAATTATTCACAAAAAATGCAAGGATAAATAATAAAAAAATTATAAATAAATTCATAAATATAAACATAAGTCCAGCCACCATAACAGTGATAGTCCAATATCAACTTAATGTCAATCTTGAAAACAAACACCCATGTGCAAATCCGACACCAGATGAAATGAATACACTCACCAGAGCTATATGCTGATTATATTATAAACCAGCATGATAGCATTTTGCTCTGGGAGCGATGATCTGCAGGATATCCCAGTAGAGGAACAGCAACCAATAGTGATCCAATCAGCACATATGGAACAGCTTGACTCCGCCCCTTGAAGACGTCAAGTGATGATACGCGTTGGGCCAGGGCTAGTAGTAGACGTGATGTTGGAACGTTCCTCCCAGCTCTTGGCTGTGTGATCGCGGTGCAGGAGGTTCGTCCCTTGGTTTTTCCCTTGTGGATGTGGCATTATAGAGGCTGTCATTGCTGGTGTCGGCTAGACACCTTCTTTGTGAGTGCAATACTTTACTAATAAAATTTTACTGGTTTTAAACGTACTGCACCATCATATCTCTTCTTATTCCTCGAGCTTTGCCCACGTTATTGGAAGATCATTTGCTGCTTAGCTGTTCCATATGTGCTGCCTAGCTGTTCCATATGTGCTGCCTAGCTGTTCCATATGTGCTGATTGGATCACTATTGGTTGCTGTTCCTCTACTGGGATATCCTGCAGATCATCGCTCCCAGAGCAAAATGCTATCATGCTGGTTTATAATATAATCAGCATATAGCTCTGGTGAGTGTATTCATATCATCTGGTGTCGGATTTGCACATGGGTGTTTGTTTTAAAGATTGACATTAAGTTGATATTGGACTATCACTGTTATGGTGGCTGGACTTATGTTTATATTTATGAATTTATTTATATTTTTATTATTTATCCTTGCATTTTTTGCGAATAATTAGTGCACTTTTTATTTGTACAATAGTTTAACTGCAGCTGCTGAGTGTATATCTAAATCCTTGTGACATGCAGAGTGTCTCTGCCCTGATTTTGTTATTATTTCATATGCAGAGTACCAGATAGGTTGGTCAGTGCTACTGCATGCGTAGTGGTCACCTTCCAGTATTTTGGTAGATGAACCTGTTTTATGCAGTATAGGTTATTTGCAGCTCCTGTTAGTTAACCCTGTCCCTTCTGGTCTGGGATTCTATAGCTGGTGTTAGCGTAGGTTTCAATATCCAGCATAGGCTAGAGTCAGGTTAGGCATCCAGTGGCCACGTTTAGATCAATACCTTAGAGGTCCAGATAGGGGCGGACTGACAACTCATGGGGCACCCGGGCAATAGGGGATCATGGGGCCCCTGTGTCCTTGCCCAAACTCAAAAAAGCCTATGAAAAAGGTACCAGGTGCATCTCACGGGGCCCCCTACTGACCCCAGGCCCTCGGGCAGTCCCCAAGTTTCCAAATGGTCAGTCCACCCCTGGGTCCAGATTAGAAACTATTAGGGAGTTACTAAAGCACAGAGTAGATAGGCTGAGTCTGAGTTTCCAGTGCCATAGTTCCAATACCACACCACAGTTCCTGCCTGTGAGAAGCTTCATTCCAGGCTATTTAGACAGTTGGAGGATCTCCCCATGACTGAAGATCTTGTCTTCTGGTCTCTGACACAAAGACAGACTCCACATCATCCTCAGGGCCCCTGCAACTGGGCTTTGCTGCAACATTCATCTGGAGGTATCTCTTAATAAATATATACACAGGTTATATGAACACAACTCCACCAGGACTCCTATTGTGCCCTTGTGTGATAACTGCCTTTTGTGATAAAACCTGCTTGTGCTTTGGATGTATGTACTGGTATTAATTTCTTTGCATTTCTATATTTGTGTGCATCTATATACAGTACTTATAGTTAATGTTATATGCTGATTGCTTTTACCAATTACTTTGTTCAGATTACTGATTAATTTCCCATGAAGGGATTCCCCTCTGTTCACTGAAGTCCTCTCCTGGGTGGAGGCACAGCCAAC